TCAAAGGGGAAAAAATTGTGAGCTGTTTAGCATTCAGATACGGATTAGAGATTAATCTATCTACATTTGTGTCCAGCATTTTTTTAATATCAGCCTAGCATACAAAAGTTACACATCCTTGCAGGGCCCTTCTCTAGAAGACAATAAAAGAGAACTGGATTTATAGGGAAAGAAATAATTTATGTCTGTATGTGCCACAGGTGGCCAGAGTCTCTGTACTCCCTGTGGAGTGATCCAAATTTGTAAGAAGTGAGCCTGGTGTTGATCTCCAGTATATCCACATACACCGGTTGGAAACTATGGACCTACTTGGCTATACGCTATCACATATGAGATAACATACATATGGTACAGTGGCCTTGGTACAGCGAATAGCAACTGTGCATAAAACTGTCATTGCATTTGGATAGGTTTGCTTCCCACAGTGCAAGTGGTTTCCAGTGTGGGAACAACAATACATGATGAGCTGGTGTTTGTGTTTATGTGTCTTCAGCTCAGCAAGCTTTGTTAATGAGCCTGCTCCTGGCAGACTGGGATGCTAAAGTACCTCTGGTGTCCCTGGAAAGGTCAGGGGAATATAATAGAGGTCTATACTAACCATGAATGCTGTTGACAGAGTGAATAAAGCTACTCTTCATTACCTTTTCCATTAGAAGAGCCAGGGGCCATCAGATGATGCTTTTAGGAGCCAGGCTGGGAACAAACAAATGGTGGTCATGCAGGTGTTGGTAAACCTGTGGCACTCCTTGCTAAAGCATGTGATGCATGCAAAAGCTCAAGAAGCAATTAGCCAACTACTTGGAAGAAACATCTATTGAGAGTTACTGGCAAATGACATGAGGTTCAGAAGATGCTCTGAGCTAAAAATAGCCAAAGCCTGGGAAATAACTCAGGGCAAACACCACATGTGCTTTGCCTGCTATTACTCTTCCCTAGGTGTCTGCTCATGGATCCTGTTGGAAATAAGATGCCGCAGTAGATGGATCCTTGGTTTGAGCCAGCACAGTCATTTCTGTATTTTTATATTCTTCTTGAGGAAGACTTGGAGTGCCACACCACCTGCACGTACTGTGTCTGAACACGACCACGTGGAAATTGGCTGCTTGGGAACTTTTGCTTACTGAGACTTTCCTAGGCCTAGAAGGGGAATGTAACAAACCAGTCCCCATTTCCATTTCTTCCTAATGCCAGACCTACAGGACTACACACTCTATAAACAATGAGATACTCACTGGTCACAGTGACAACTTATGGTACTAGCAACCCCAGATTTAATTATTTTTTTTTGTCAGCTGTTTGGATCAGACCCATTTCTGGTGGGGAATTCAGTATGGCGAACACAGAATAGTTCCCTTTCCCAAGGACATCTCAACTGCTACAAAATGAGGCATGGATCATAAGATACAATGGAGCTCTAAACAGTCCTCCCACTTTGAACCTAAGAAATTAAATAGCATTGCTGGCACTCAGGAGTTGTCTACACAGAGAAATGGTAGGACTTTAACTAGCCTGCCTCTGGTACAGTAGTTTAACCTCCTAATATGGGCTTGCAAACACCTATATAAAAATACTAATGTTGACACATCTGTTATCAGGCAAAAAATAGACCATACACTGGTGGACACACTTACACTGAAACACTGCTGTCCACACAAAAGGTTGTACCATAATGTTATTGCATCAAGTGAAAAAAAAAAAAAACAAAACACCAAACCACTCCCAGCATGAATTGCTCTACCAATAGAAAAATCTACATATAGGCTTAAATGACTTACCAGGGCAGATAAATTCTTACCTGACTGAGATGGCCATTTCTGACATCTTACCAAACCATGTTCTTTACAGAGTCCCTGAGACATGACCCTGTATGCTTCCACTTGGCTTCCACCTGTGTGCTGCTGTCACAGACCTAATAGCATCTTCAAAGAGGTTTTGGTGAGCAAGTGAGGAGTTTGGGTGAAGTCCCAGTGAACACTGCACAGTCTAAGCCCTCTTTGTAGCCTTACCCACACCACTTGTAGGAAAGGGTGTGCCGACCTCTCACCTGGAAGGAGAGGCTGCAACAAGGGAATTATAAAGAACAATGGAAGCTTTCACTGCTCCTTCAAACAGGACACGGCCAGAGTGATCCTCCATCACTCCTAAGGAGCTATAAAGCCGGTATGACTCTGCAGGAAAGCGCTTTGTCACTTACGCTCCTCACACTTCCTTGTGCTATAACAGTTGAAAAAAAAACATGGTTTGTTTGCCACAAAAAAAGCATTACGTTGGAATGTGCCCTTTGAATTTTGAAGCCACCTTTTTGCTTATGAGACTGTTTTTCTCTCTATGCCTGTTTCCATTGCATGCTTTCTCGCATAAAATATGAAAAGGTGGGATTTTTTCAATAAAAGAAGTTCAGTCTGCTGCTGTAGTAGAAGTATGCAAAATAGCTCTCATATTCCAAGTACTCTGGGCTTTGGTCACAAATTCTTTTTTACTCTTCCAGTCCTTCCCACCTCATAACTTCTTGATGCTCTTTGAGAAATAAGATAGCGGTCTCAGTGCAACTTCTGATGGGCAGAAGGAGCCCCCACTGACAAATATCTCTGCAGCAGTCTCAACATTCGTAGTGTCAGTACAGAATGACATGGTTGGACTGCTACACAACTTGGCATTTTTGCATCCTTGTGCCCACGCAAACAAAACCATTCATGAATTCATTACAGCATCATCCATGTGCAAGAGCTAAGGTTTACAATCTCTGTTTTACAGCTCTGCAGCTGAGGTGCTGAAAGATAAAGCGTACCACGGGATGAGCGGTACCACGGGAAGTGCCATTCTAAAACTTTAATCTCAAAATGACCCAGGAACATCTCATCCCACAAAAGACACCCTGAAAGTAGGAATCAGCCATCATTCTAATACAAATGGTGTGTCATTTGTGCCATGGCACTGGATCAGCGGAGGACCAAGACGTTTGGAAGCGTCAACCTTTGCAACCTTCACCCAGATGAAGTCTCTTTGCAAAAGAGGCCAAAACAGATGGTGTGTGGAGCTGTATCTGAAGGCATGTATCACTGTCTCTCTTTAGGGGGTACACTGAAAGGCCGCATTTGGCTCACAGAGAAGATGTACGAGGCAGATAATTGAGTTCGGGGCACTCCTGCAGATGGAGGACTGTGGTGTTGGCGGTGGCCAGAGGGTGGTAGCACTGCACAGCTGAAGTGCCACGGCCCTCTGTACCGGGGAGGGTGTGTGGGGGGAGCCTCTGATGCTCCCGAGTAGCTGAGGAAGAAGTAATGAATTTGGAATAAATGGTGGGAGCTTTAAGAACAAAAGTAAAACCAGGCCTTGTACTGCTTTTTCCCAGATTCCTTCAGCAGATGTGTTACACTGGTTTTCTCCTCTCACTTTATACTGGAGGATGCTTCTTTGACCTCCTCAAACTAAGGTAAAAATAGCTGCGGCTTCTTCATTTCATGTGAGGAGAAGGAGGAAGAAGAGGTGAGGAAAGGGGGGTTTTGAAATGAAGAGGAACTTTTACAAAAGCATCTCGCTTTCTTAGGCCCTAAAAACACTGTGCTACCTCAGACAGCACACTCCACCAGTAACACTGGTGGCTATTTTCTGGGCTTCTGCTTTTTCAGATGATGCTCCTTCTGGTGTGGCAGCCACAAGCTGCTAGACATATGGTTTCTGCCCTGTGGCACATAATGACCACAAATAAATGACCTTACCAGGATGGTGGTCATGTGCAGCAACCAGACAATTGTAGGTCCCATCCAATTGAAATATTCTATTCTATTCTATGTCAAAGCACTTTGGGAACCTAAGAATACTTAGTGGTGTGAAAGTCTTCTGGAGTACAGGTGTGCCTCAATTTTGTACTTATGGGTACAAATTGTTACCTTAACTTTGCTGAAAGGAGGAAAACTGAGCAAATAACTTGCTTAAGGGCACAGACCACATCAATGCTAGTGTCAGGGCTATTATGTGCACACAATTTGTGTGTGTGTGCATGTAGTCATGTCTCTACCTCTTAGTATTCCTTAACTTGTAGTTTAAAGTGCAGAGGATTGAAAGCTCACAGCTTCCACCTGTCATTTTACTTGACATTACGTATTCTAGAGCTATGAAAAATAGGTTTGGGCTGCTGACATCAGTCATCTCTTCTCTTTTTCTCTCCTATGCCACTGAGAACTATGTGTCCCTGTCTGTCCTGCTCCTATTTCAAGATGCATTTATTGTAATAGTTTAAACCAGAATAATGTGTTGGCCTTGCCATGTGACCATAGGCAAGTGGCTACGCTGCTCTGAGACTTCATTCTCCTGTAGGTGAAACAGAGGTAATTATGCTTACCCTGCTCTGTGAACAGCTTCAAGATCTCCAGCTAGTGTGTGGGAGACAATAGTGTGATTATAATTGCCCAGGCACTGTAAGACCCCATGCTCAGTGGCATTTCTTTGTCTGTCTCCTAACACAACAGCTTTCAAAGGCTCCCGTGCACACTCTTGCTGGATTTTTTTCTCATTCCCCATTCCCTTCTTGCCACTTTCCATTCTTGCTGCCCCCTCTCCTCTCCCCGAGGTCTCTCTTGGGGAAATCTACCTCCTCTATCGACCCATTTTCCTCCCCTGTCGTCAGGTTCTGGTTTGTCGGCTCCCTTCCCTTCGTTGTCACTCGTATCAACAGTTACTTCACCACCATCCCCTTTCCCGCTCCCCTCCTCCGAAATTCTCCCTCAGCCCTGACACTTTCTCTAGAAACAGCCGCGGGCTATTTCTAACCTTCCTTCTCTCATCAAAGCGCTGGAGAAATCAGCTCGCTTTCATCTCTCGGCGGGGAGGCTGCCACGCCACTGCCGCCGTGGTTGGCAGGCCGGGCTGGGAACCGGGAGCTCCTGGTTGGTGATGGCGGCACGGCCACTGACTCACCCCCTGGCCTTCGGCAAGCCGCTCGCCCTCTCTCCTCTCCTGGCTTTAAAATAGGAACAATAATTACGCACTTACCTCACATGGGTGTTGTAAAAATTTAATTACCGCTTGTAAGATGCTATCTAAGAGTGAAATGTGTCTTTATCTCTCACAGTGGTAGCTGTGACCACTGCAATCTGCGCTCAGTTCAGGCCCTGGCATATAAAACTAGTGTCTTCCCCAGGCAGCCAAAGCCTTCCCTCCTGGTCACAAAGGTCCCTGTGCCATAGACCTGTGACACAGGGGAGTCTCCCTGGCTGCGGGCCATTCCCCCTGGAAAACAGGCAGAGAGGCTGAATTCCCCTCTGGTCAAGGTCACCTATCCAGCTGCTCCTCTGATCACACTCTTCCCTCGAAATTTCTGGTGAGGCCTCTCCTGAACCAAGATCCATGTCCTCCTCCCTTCTTGACTGCCTTTGCCATCCTCATCCATTGCCTTGCTCTTCCCTCTCCCTCTGCTCTGGCTGACAGGACTTGTCCAAGCCGCTCGCCCTCCTCCTCCTTCCCGACTGCCCTCACAGGCTGTCTCAACCAGTTAAACCCAAGACTCCGCTTTCCTCAGGCAATGGCTGCAAAGATGGGTCTGTCTAGTGAGATGCTGTCCGTCCGTGAGGGTGGGAAGGGGCAGCAGACCTCGTGCCAGGCAGGCAGCAGTGGCGATGCTGCCATCCCACCACTCTCCAGGTGATGAACAGTGAGGAGAGCGCAAGGCAGCGAGCAACATGTCCGGAGCCTGACGCCTCTGTCCTCCCATGCACGCATGTGGGGGCTTCACGGTCTGATCCTCCAGCACCACCCATGCCCAACATGAAGTAGGAGCAGAAGCATCCTCGGATACTGCCCCTGCTCGTTGCACACAAAAAGGACACAAAACCCACTGGGACTGATGTTGCCAAGAACAGTGCTCAAGCCTGAAATCAAGAGGACAGGGCTGGGGACCCTCCATAGCAACCAGAGACCTGTACAGAGTTGGGCCTGATAAGGCCAGGTCTTGGCACCCAGGTCCACCCTCCTCTGCGCCTCTTCTCAGTCACTTCCCAAGCTAATATTGGGGTCAGCTCAAATTTCCGGTCTTAATTACGCCACTCCCTACATGTGCCAAAAAAATTGTCTCCGACTTGGGCTGATTACCACCTCTTTCCTGTGAGAGGGCGATCTGTTTGCGCTGATGGAGATTGCAGAATATGCAACGCCTGAAGAAGCTGCAGGGGACCCTTCTGGATGTGGACCTGCTTTTGGAAACAGAAGACAACAAGAGAAATAAAGGCCATTTTAGATCAGGAAAATCTAAACAACCTGTAACTCATCAGTTGTTTTATTTTTTTGTATTCTTGGCCAAAATCTTTGTCTTTGGAGTGTATTTGTCAGTTTCTGAGTGAAAGTTATGAAAGGGCGTGAGGATGGAGTGAGACTTGCGAGTGGAAACTGCTGCTCAGCCATGGAGAGGCTACTGCCTATCCATAATGCATGCGCTCTAAACTATATCCATAAATGTCAGGCATGATTTAATAGGCTATAAAATCCTACATCATGATGCCACTGGAACTATTGAAAATAAAAGCAGATAAATCACGATTCTGTGCAACAAGCTGTACTCACGCTGCTTTTTTTCATTTGCTAGGGTTTCATTCTGCCATTTGCTGAGCACGCACTACTCTCACTAAGCCTTGAGTTGAGTTTCCTTTTCCTTTTCCATTTCCTTTTCCTCTTCCTCTTCCTCTTCCTCTTCCTTTTCCTTTTCCTAGCTTGGGTTTCCATTTCAGCCCACTGGCTTTGCAGCTGTGTGGTCACGCTGCTGTAAGCCCCTGCCCCAGAGGGTGCAGGACTGGACAGAAAGGTGCTGAGCCTCCGCAGGCTTGGAGAAGCAGTAGTACTCTTTTTTTTTTTTTTTTTTTTTTCCCCAGCAGTACCGGGCAATCATTGTAAGCAGATTGACTACTGTTGTTCATATAATGTTATTCCTCACATTAGATTATGAGCATTAAATCTACTAGACAATGTTTATATGGCAGGAAAACAATTTGTGTCACTCTTTTACTGCCAGCAAGATATAGAGTTACAATGACATGGATGACAGAGTGTGCACCACAACTCCGAACAGGCATGACAGCTGTAATCCTGTCTCCCCATGGAGAAAATGATGCTGAAAAAGGAGGGAGGGGGTGTTGAGCCTGTGAAAATATTACTGATAGAGAGGATTGAGTTTTGAGGAAAGTTTTCTTCACCTCTGCAGCTGAGATGAGTAAACTGGAGAAGTAAAATCCAGCCATAGTACATGCAAAATGTAAATAATTTTGGCCTTATTTGACACATAATTTGAACTTTGTCCCTTCAGCTTCTATTTTTTGTTTATTTTTGTTTAAAATGTTTTGCAGTAACAGAATATAGCTTGATGCTTTTTCTACTTTTACCTTGAGTTTCATCATATATCTTATAATTCTTTAATTTTCCTGGTCTGAATCATTTAATTACATACAACATAAGAAGGCAGGTGGGAAGGTGAGAAAGGAGGGACAGAGGGAGGGAGACAGACAGAAAAATAACAAAGAAAATAAGGAAGGAAAGAGAAGAAATTTGCTAGCATTCAAAATTTGGGGGAGAAGTTTGCAAATATGTACTTTACAGGACAAAATCCAGAGGCAAGATAAAGAAATGCAGACATGTAAAATTTAAAGAATTTTCCAAAGTATTTTTTTTCCCCTCAAAAATCTTGTGATTTTGAGGTAAGAGGCAACTAACTCATTATTTTGAATTCATGAGGTTGTCAGTATTGACACACACTTCATTGTTCTGGATTATGCAAGAACAAAACATGAAGGTATAGCTTACACCTGAAACTGGTAGCTGGGGATCTCGTATTTTGCAGAATTGTCTTCCAAAAATCCTGGTTTTGGTAACGTTTTTTGCTTTCCCTCATTTACTGGTGGTTTTGTGCACCCTGCAGAGCCCTGTCTGCTCAAGAAATGAGCCTTTGCCCATGGAAATCTCTCTGTGGCATCAAGGACCTCAGTCCCAGCTCTGGCCGCGCACGTGCTTGACCGGTGTAGCCCTGCCCCTGTCACTGCACGTCTTCAGGTGATGCTGGCAAGTTCCTCACATATCTAGAGAGATTTAAATTCCATTTAAACAACCACCCCTGCGAAAGTAGGTCGAGCGGGGAAGTTTCGCCCGGTGCAGGCCAACCTCTTAACCCCACCTGCTCTCCAGCTCCCTGCTACTGATCTTCCCCCAGCAGACTTCCCTCCATTCCTCTCAGCTCTCCCAGGCTCAGAGCTGCTCTCCCCAGTCTGAAGAGCCTCCGATACGGCCTTGCCCATCTCCAGCCGCAGGCAGAGGTCCCCTGCTTTTACTCCTTGGTCCTTGCATGCCTGGCAACCCTTCCACACGTTCTGTTGGGGTGATTTTGTAGGGTCGGGGCAACAAGCAGTGCCTGGCCAAGACTTTTTGGTCTCTTTGGTAGTGAGCAAGAGGGCTACTGGCATAAGCTGCGGCTTTGAGGGACTGCAAGATTCCAGTTTAAGGTATCTCCATCTACTTGCACCACAGCGAGGGGAACTTAGCTGGCTTTAAACACAGGGATGCACACACACACACGATATATTCCTTGTGCCTTTTCACAGCGCTTAAAGCAGCTGCTGGCACGGCTAAGGAGGGTGTGCTGTGACTTGCACAGCACGGCAGTGTGGGATGGGGCACTTTTACAGGGTGCTAGTCCAGGAAACTCTGCTTTGTGGCACCATGCTGTAACCCGGACACTAGAAGAGGTCGACAAGGACTCGGCTGTACCAGCCTTGTGGTGCCACGATGTTGCTCCGCAGTGGTAGGAGAGGGGACCGCGGTCCCATGCAGTTTAGTCCAACGTGGTAGTCGGGTTTGGCTGTTGCCAGGTTGGTGTCACTGGAGTTAGTGCTCTCAGGGCCACTGTCAGGGCCACTCACTGCCTCACCTTTATGTGCTGCGACATGGAAGTAGGTACCAGGAGTAGCACTGTCAGCATGTGCCCGAGCAGTGCCTTGTGCAATGAAGTCTGCTTTTCAGATGTGACTATAGACTTGTCTCTCAGAAGATGCTGCACTGCTTTGAACAATGAAAAGGAGTTAAATCAGTACAATCCTCAATCTCTCTTCCCCTTTCTCCTAACAGAATAGTCACACAGCAGTAGAAAAACATTTCTCTTATTTACAGAAGCAACACACTAGATGATTGAAAATAATCCAGTATATGACGATGTGTGACGATGACATAGTTTAGAGCATCAATTATGTTCAGGGTTACTTTTTTGCATATATTTGCCGCTGGATGAATAGGTGACATACCGGAATTTTTGCATTTCCATTTTGACTGTTGTGGGTTTCTGAAATGGGAAAGCTATGCAAGTGCCTATGTAAATTGCGTAAGTGTATTTATATCAAAATGCCTGCAGCTTTAGGGAATGCACTCGTATTGCTATTATGATTCAAAAAAACCCCACAAACAAACCTTTTACCAAAATCATTATACTGGTGTAAATCCTATTCATAGAGCCAGCCCTGAGCATTCAGAGGACCACGAAATCTCAAAGAAGATTTGGCTCTTAGGTAAACAAACAAGAATGCAAATAATATGGATATAGCATTTCTCACTCTAACACCTGAGACTGAATTTCACATATATTCTTAAAAAGCCAAGGATTCAGGAATTCTACCACAAGAAACATTGACCTGGCTGAATCTTGGAAAGAAGGACTCACCTGAGAATAGGAAGTGAAAGCTAATCTCACTGATAATGATGAGAAGCAGCATGAGTGATGCACAATAGGGCCATAAAATCCAATTTGGTTTCAGAAACCAATTTGGTAAGGGAAAAAGAATGGTAGTACTAAACGTGCAATGCAGCGAGGATCACTTCCACAGCATCTCTGTGCACTAACACTCATGGATTTACTGGTGTGTCCGCAGGACCAAAAACTCTGTTGCATGCTAACATCAACATATCCTTTGCACATTCTTGGAAATTACTATGGTCTCCTACTGTGTTTTGTTCCTTAAGAGCTTGATTCTGTCCCTCAATCTGGAAGAGTCATCTTGGTCAAGGCTCAGTAATGTCAGCAGACCCATCAAGTGACTATCTGTACCTGTTCAAACATTGGAAGACAAGAATAAAACTAGTAATACAAATGAAGCAAATAAGTGGTCATTAAATAAGTGAGTCAGTTAAGTTGTGCTGGGAAAAGATAAAGGGAAGGAAAAGATAACAGCGGAGAAACAATAGAATGAGTTAATGATAACTGGGCACTGGGAACTAATGAGTGCCTTTGCAAATACCAGGAAAGAAAAAAATACTACCACGAATAGAGTCTCCTTAATAAAAGCGAGGTGAAGTCAACAATTATTGCAAATATCTGAGGTACACTGCTGGAACTAGAAATTCAGTGTACAAAAGAAGAAATTAAACCCTTGGCTTTTGGCTGGATTTAGGTTCCCAAGTGTTTAATTCCTTTGGGAAAAAGGCTCCAACATCCTTTAGGGACATATGAAAAAAACTAGCCTAGCTGTTGAGAAAGTGCAGGTAGGAAGACACTGGGAGTCTCATGGCTGTGAAGGAGGCCCAGGTGACAAAGAATCAGTGGGAGATGGTATGCAGATGCACTGCTGTGGGCAGAAAATGTTGAGTCCCAGTGAAAGGCTGGTTTGCCTCTTCTTCTTCAGGGCTTGCTCTGTTTTGAGGGACAAACTCCAGACCAGAAAATACAAGCATCCAAAGCCAGATTTTCAGGCCATTACGAGGAGAAAGAACATACTCCTATCTATGGGTTTTCTTATCCCCTGCCGCCCCCCAACATGCCACCCACCTCCCTTTCCTGGGAGAGCCCAAGGCAGGAACTTGGCCTCACTTCAGAGGCCAGAGTATGGTTACCTTTTGCCTGAATTACTGTTGCCACCATCTATCCGAGCAAAAAGTTAGGGGACTTCTAGCTAGGGTGTTGATGAAAGGTGGCTCTGCGGGATTGGAAATCCTGCTTTTAACTAATGGGTCCTCCCTGGAGATAAGCTAAGCAGTGGCCTCTCGGTGAGAGGGAAGGAAACTAACTGGGAGCCTGTTCAAGGTTTAATACGAGCTAATGGACTTCCTTTCCGCTCTGTGCAATCTCCACGTGGCGCGGATCTAAAGGGGAGCTGACAGCTGGGGAAGCTTTCTCTTCACATTTCCAGAGCAACTGTCCCGCAACCACAAGCCATCCTGCCCACCAGATCTGGTAGCGTTTTTCATCTCCTGCACAGAGCAGCAGTCAGGACCATATAGTCTGAGGTCTCAAGAGATGGAAGTAATGAGAGGAACCGCGAGAAATCAGGTCAGAGAAACAAGGGCAGAACCAAGCAGAGAAGCTAACACATTACGAGGAGTTTGTCCCTCCTTGTTCAAAGGGTTCAAGGATGTTCTTCAGTCACTGTGGCTAGCATCTAGCTAGCATGGCCGAGGCATACCTGCTTCTTTTGGGAAGGGCAGACCACAGGGCAGTGTGATATCTGTTCTGTCCAGCCACGTTTCCTTTGCCAGCTTTCTTACAGCAGCTTCAGTGCGATTGGCTTCTGGCTGGAAAGGTGCTGCACTCATGCCTGTGGCTTTCTCTACTCAGCCATCCTTTCTTTCCCTTCCTTTTCTAGTTACCATGCATTGCACTCACATTTAGTGGAGTGGTGGAAAGAAAAAGAACAGAAGGAGCTGGAAGACAACAGCTCTAAAGCAGGTTGTGATCTTGGACAGATACATGTAACCACTCATACTGGTTGAGAGGTCTGCCAAGATGGATCAAAGCCTGTGTTTGTAAGGGCCATTAATCAAAGTGGGAGGAACAACAGGTATCAGTGACCCCAGAAGGAACAGATGTTGAAACTCCAGGCAGAAAAATGAGGCTCGAGACACATAGCTTCGCCACAAGCTCCATGGAGAAAAACAGATTGCAGTTGCACTGCAAGAGGGAATACTGAGTAACAGGACTAGATCTGATTTGGGGCGATGGCAGGTGACAAATTTTGTGCAAGCTTCTGAGGCGACTTGGAGACCAAGTAAACCGTGATGGGTTTTGGCTGCATTCACAACGGCAGATACTTGTCCCTAAATGTGGGATTCCGTGGGCTGAAAAGGTGATACCAATTGGATGGGAAGCAGAGAAGACCAATGACAGTGATAAAGTGGCTGCAGGGACCGGTTAATGAAAGGAGATAAAAAAGAACTAATGGCAGTGGTCAGGAAAAGGAGTGATACCTGGGTGCAAGGCACAAAACAGACAGAGAGGATAAAAATTGTTTAAGGGAGCACAATACACAGGAGTAATTGGGTGAAACTCAACAAATGAAAATGTAGGCCAAATATCTTCCTGACCATGGGACTTGCTGGACCATGAAATAGTCTCCAAAAGAAAGAGGTGGAAACCCCATTACCCGAGGCATTTAAAACAAAAGCGGACAGAGCAATCAAGCGCGTGCTGCAAATCCTCTACCAGCAGGGGAGCAGAGTAGATGACCTAACAGGTCTTTTCCATCTCTAATTTCTACATTTAATATAAGGAATCACAAAACCCCCTAACCTGCCATGAGATACAGAATAATGACTCAGCACTTGGGGAAAGCCAGTGGTAAGCATGCAGGTAGAAAGGGAAAATGTCATAGTGAGGAAGCAGAGAGAATAATAGGGGAGAGAGTGGCATTGTAAAAGCAGTAGAGATGCCATGGCTCTACTCCAGCAGTTCAGCCATGACAGGTAAAAATGAATCCTTGATTATTGCGTTGAACCCCTATTTAAAAAGGGTCACTGGTTGCTAGGCTGAGAGGGAATAGTACTTTTCCTCCCTCTTCCTCGTTTAGTTTCAGGGACTGGCCAAAACGAAGCCGTAAGAGGCTGCAGAGAGTTGGTCCTGGTTTGCAAAATGGCCTGTGACAGCCCACCAAGGGGTGCCAACCGGGAGAGCCCAGCGGTCTCGCCTCTTGGCCGTGCAGACGGAGCAGCACCGGGCTCAATGCTTGCAAGCACACGGCGGTTCAGCAGACGCCACGCAACGTGCGCTTAGGCTTGCTTTAAAACACCACGGTAGGATTCCCCCTCGTTTGCCATTTTGGGGAGCACTGGATCACTTAGCAGGAGCCTGTTCCATCCCAGCGCACGGCATCCTTACAGCAGACTCCAGCGGCGGTTGTGCCTTGCAGCGACACGGGGAGAAGCAGGGCTGCGCTCCCGGGCACCTTCAGGACTTGCAATGAAGCGGGTGCATCCCAAAACCAGCCAGGACACCAAAAACTGTCTTTAAAATCACGAAGAGAGATGTAGATGAGATGGCCGAGTCATTTTTCGCCTTTCCCCTCTCTTTTCAGCCCCGTCGGGAGGGCTAAGGCTGTACTCGGGAGGGACTGGGCTGTGCCCAGAGCTGGAGGGTGAGGGAGAACAGTGTAATTCCACCCTGCAGCTGGAAATAACGCGCGTTACAGTATGGATCCCATACGTTGCGGGCGACACAACGCCCCCCCGTGCTGAGCTACGTGCGACCCGCTCCGGGGTCTAAACGCAGACAGAGCCGCGGGGAGGGGGGTGGGGGGGTGCGAGGCGACCTCCCGCCCCCCGCCCCGGTCCCGTTAGCAGTCACAGCCCGCAGGTGGGGTGTCTGTGGGGCGGCGGGCCGGGCCGCGCGTGGGACTGGCGGGGGGATCACGGGCCGCCGATGCCCCCCCCCCCCCCCCAACCCAGCCCCGGACTTCCCGTGCCCCGCGGTAACCCGAGCCTCATTTCCTGGTCGGGGCTCTTAAAGGGGCAGCCCCGACGGTGGAACAAAGGCCATTGTGCTGCCCGCGGGCCGGCGCCCCCCCCTCCCCGCGGCTCCCCCCACCCCCAGCCACGTTCGCCCACCCCGCTGCCCGGCGCGGCAGGCCGGTACCGGAGCGCGCGGCGTTTAAAGGGCCCGCGCGACCCCGCGAAACCCCACGGCGCTGAGTATGACGACGCGAGCCGGCGGCGCCCTTCCCGCCTTTCCCCCTCCGCTTCGGCCGTCCCGCATCGGCACCCGAGGGCGCCGGCGGCTCGCCGCGCTCCCGCCCCGGCCGCCGGGGCACCGCCGCCCCGCCCCGCCCTTTCGCCCCTCCCCCGCCGGCGGCGGCCGTTCGTGCCGGCGGCCGCCTCCTGCCTGGGGCGCGGCTCCTTTAAGGGGCGGGGCGGGGTGCCGGGAACCCACGTCAGTTTCGGCCCCGAAACTCCGGATCAATGAGCGGCGCGGGGCGGGGCGGGGGCGGGGCGGGGCGCAGCGCCCGGTCAGGCCCGGCCCGGCCCGGCCCGGCCCCCGCCGCCTTTCGGTTTCTCTCTTCCAGGAAGGAAAACACCGGCGGGGAGAGGAGCCGCGCCGGCAGCCCCCGCCCCTCCCCCTGGGCCTACCCCCCCCACCCCCCTACACACACCTCCCCCCCCCCCCCCCCCCCCGCGCGCGCGCGCGCACCGACTCACACACGGACTTGCGCGGGCAGCGAGCGCGCAGTCACACACACACACACACACATACACACATACACACACACACACATACACACACACACACACACACGGAGCCACAGGCGCGCGCGCGGGGACCGGGGGGGGGGACGGCGGCGGGAGCCTCAGAGCGGCGGCGGCGGCGCGGAGGAGGAAGAAGAGGAAGAGGAGGAGGAGGAGGAGGAGGGGAGAGACACCGGCGGCGCTGAGGAGGGGAGAGACACCGGCGGCGGGGCGCCTCCCCCGGGGCAGCTCCGCGGGCCGCGCCGCGCCCGCCGCCGGGGCGATGGTGGCGGCGGTAACTTCCCCTTGAGGGGCCGGGCCGCGTCTGGCCGCGCCGGGAGAGGGAGCGGAAAGTGAGGGAAGCCCGAGAACTTCCCATCGTGTCCGTCCGTCCGTCCGCCCTGCCGGGCTTCGCCGCTTCCCTCCTGAGAGATGTCTGAGGCTCCTGCTCAGTTTTGCATCAAGGTAAAGCCCCGTCCCTCCGTCCGCTCCGCTGTCTGTCCGGCCCCTGTCAGCGCGGGACGCGCCCGCCGGCGCCTCAGGGCGGTGGGCGCTGTGTTTTGCCCGGGGTTATCTGGGTGAAAATAACTGTTTCTTCCTCCTCTCCTCTCCTCTCCTCTCCTCTCTTCTCCTTTTTTTTTTTTTTTTTTTTTTTTTTATTCCTCGCGTGGAGGGCGGTCGCGGGGTGGTCGGTGTTCCCCCACCCTCACGGGGCGCGCGGCCCCCACCCGCGGCGGCGCGGAGAGCCCCCCGCGCTGGCGGCCGGCCGCACGGGCGTGGGGGGCGCGGGGACGCGGCTCCCGTGGGTTGTTAGCGCTGTGCGCCTGCCCCCGGGGGGGGGACACACGCGCGGCAGAGCCGCCGCGGCCGGCGTCGCGCGGTGTGGCTCTTCCACGGCGGGAGGCGGCGGCGCGCCGGGCGCTTTAACCGGGGCCCCGGAGCGCGGCCCGGCCTCGCCTCCCGTGGGGCTGGCCGCCCGCCGTCCCCCGGCAGCAACTTCGCGGAAAGTTTCCTGCCGTCGGGGAGATGCAGCCGCCGCTGCTGCTGCACAAACAGTGGGTTGTGGGGCTTGCTTTTTCTTATTTTGCTCTTTAATTATGATTTTTGTTTGGTTTTTTTTTTTTTTTTTAAATATCTGTGTTGTTATTATTATTTTTTTAGCCGCTCTGTTTACTGGCGTCGCCTGCCCCTCAGCAGGTCGGGGAGCCAGGGCTGCGCAGCCCGGCCCCGCTCAGCCAGGGCCCCGGGGATGTGTTTCTGCGTGGCTTGGCCTGTTGAAGAAGGGGTTGCCCCGTGAAGTTTTAAGTGGAGGCGGTATGAAGCTGAGACAATGGAAACAAAATTGAGTTTCCTTTTTGTCCAGACCCTTCCTATCTAGCAGCCCGCTAGAAATAGTGCTTTCCTCTCTCCTTCCCTCACCCCTCGGTTTGGCTTCAATCATACATTCTCTTCAGGAGTCGCTTTGCCTTGTTGCCAGCCAGGAATCTTCCCTTCTGCTCGCCGCTAACTCTGTCCGAGTAAGAGTGCTTTAGAGGTTGTCTCTCCCTGCCTGGAAGGAAAAGGTGACTTCCAGACTCCTCCTAAGGTGAAGAGCCTGCATTAAACACTTACTTATTCAGCTTAAAAACATGATGCTTTTTTGTTTGTTTGTCCCATGCGTGTGTTTGTGCATTTCTGGTGGGAGTCTTGCCCTCTGTACGGCGTGACTACAATTTGAAAACTTCTGGGTGTATTTTCTCTTGCTGAGTTAAATGAGATCAGGCCTGCGTCCCGTGAAGTCTTGTGGCTTAGAGAGTCTACTTTGACTTTTCAGAACAGAGGTGGGCAAATTGGATAATGGGGTGTTGTATGCGCATTACCGTATGGCAAAATGCTAATGCAGGCAAAGCGTGTAAAATTAGCTAAGCAGATGCCTATATATATACATATACAAAAATTAAATATAACTACTGTTTTTTTTCTAGTAAACCCTGTGGAAAGGTAGGATGTGTTCTCTGGACAGAAGAACATGAATGTCAGGAAGAAGTAGTGTCATGAGTTGTGTTTCCTTGTTTTTGGCATGTGTTGTTTTGAAAATACCAGACTTCTGCTCTTACTGAAGTCAGCAACAACACTACTGTTGATTTCAGGAACAGTAAAACTGGTTCTTCCCTAACCTTACTAAGGTATGTTGCAGAATTGTACTGGAAGGGATCAGCTGTGTAGCAGAAGTGATACAAGCAAACTTCTGTTTGAGTTTTGAAATGATTAAATAGCAAATTTTCATTATGTTTAGACAGATACTGGGAAACTGATTTTTTTTTTTTTTTTTTTTAGTGACTAATTCTAAACATCATGGTGTGAACTTTTTTTTTTAATGTGTAGTTTGTTTACATGATGACCCTTGCAGTTATCTTTGTCGGAGAACAGAAACTACTGTTACTGGCTTCTCTGTTAGTGATTCCTTTAATAGTTTCAAATACAGAAAGTACGTATTTTCAGACAGAAATGTGAATTGAAAATGCTAGCATTTCTTCACCGATCAAACCATTCTGGGGAACCTTTTCTTCAGTTTCTCTAACTACAATTGTTTTTTGGATGCTTGTTTTGACCGGGCAGAGTTAAAGGTGGTTGTGATCAGCAGCTGGCATCTGGATTTAAGAGGAGTTGTTTAAATGGTAGTGTGATTGATTATTTCTTAAGCGTGCCAGCCTGGCTTGCGGCACGGCGCATGAGGTCGAGGCAGAGGAGCAAGCTCCACACTGTACTCAACTTTGCTGCTAAGCTGCTGTGTTGTTCTGAAAAGTAGCCAAGTATTGTGCTGCAAGGGTGTTGCAGTTTCATTAGGAGCCTGTGAACTGGAAGCAGTGGTGCTGGTGGAAGTATTTTGTATTTATTTACTTTTTTCCCTTCCTCCTCCAACACAGGGCAAGGGTGCATGCAGTAAATGCCACAGCAACTGGGGTGATGATCCATGGAAAGCTTCAGCGGAGGGAGTGAAGGCTGGTGCTTTGTTTATGCCCGAGCTGCTCAGTGCGTGGTCTCCTTATCTCACGTTACTAGAGAAGCGCCCTAGTAAGATTTAGGAAAATTTTAAGGAGGTGAAGTTTTGGTGTATATTTAACTACTGGTAATCAACATAAACTTACAGTAATATCTCGGTTCGTGTCAAGTCCTTATCAGGATGTATGTGTGATTGTATATTGATACGTGTTTGCTTTGTGGCAAGTATGTGTGCTTACTTAAATTAACTCTCCGAGAGAGGAAAAGTATAATGCCAATCCTGATCTTGCCAACGCTTGGGTGTGTGCTTGCCCAGCTGATGGCAAGCAGACCTGGTAACTCCAGCTGTGCTGTTGTGACAAGGAAGTTAAGTGTGTGCATAAAGAGTCTAAAGCTGCGGAGAGAAATCATCGATGGGGTTTAGAAAATAAGATCTTGGGGGTCAGAGATGAATGTGAAGGTTGGACCCTGGGTGTTTGCTACAGTTTAGGGCATCAGCACCTTCTCTGTGTGAAACGATAGGCTTTGGGCTTGTGTCAGACTCCAGCCCAAGAGGGCCTGAGGGCTTTGATTCCACGGTGGGTTGGGAAGGGACATCTGGTGTGATTGTCATATTCACACACTTTTTTCATCCCAGCTTTGGGATGTCTACACTGGTAGTAAACCTGTTCCTCTGATCCTGAGCCATGGTAGTTAGCTGATTATAGTATTGTAAATACTGCCATGACATTGGCACTCATTACAGCATTGGCAAGTGATCCTTGTGGCCTCACCTCTCCTCCTCCAGATGGGAGAACAGAAGCACAGGAAGAGTAAACATCTTGGCAAAGGCTTACATGAAAGCAAAAGCTCGAAGGGAGACAGGACAAGAAGTGTAGACACAGGTGATTATTTCTGTGATTGATTAAGGTCCATGGGGTGATGTGTTCTGGTTTTAATCTGGTGATGAATTCTGGTCTCACCTGGAGCTTTCTGATTGTATTATATCTCCCTATTTTTTTTCCTGAAATTATAATACCTTGAGAATATCGCCGTGATGTCATGTGGAGGCTCACAATTCAGCAGGCAAATAGAAGGGTCCCAAGGGGCGCAGTTTAATTTGTTTATTTTCCTTTTTATAAATCTGGCACTTTCAGTTGCTTAGTCTGATTTACCATGCAACCACACAAACAATTGTGCTGGCACAAGTATGGAGTTGTGGGGGAACTAAAACTGGGAATGCGGCTGGGGGATCAGCTGCTTCAGATCTCCCAGACCGACCAGGGCTTCTCCGAGCCCAGGCTCCCTTGCGTGTGCCTGGCTGATGCTTGAGCCGAGTGCTTTCTGTGGGCAGCACTGAACACACCGAGCCTTCCCGCGAGTCGGGTTTCACAACTGATTCCAGTGGAGATTTTATGCAGCTGTACGCTGGTTGATGTGAGCACTTTCTCTTGCAGTGAACTGTACGTAGAGTGGCCCTTGTGATTGTATGGGCACCGCAGGAGTCGGCGCAGAAACCTGTAGCTCGAGGACTTGTCTCACCAGTGCTCATTTCAGATTCGAGGATGTACTTTGTAATTATTTAAGAAAAGGAAGAGGGGAAAAAAAGACTGATCGTGTAAG